TACAAAAACAATTTCGGTGCATCCTCTTCAATCAAAACGATTTAGTGCAATTTAAAGAGTTTGTAAAGGTGTTCTTTGATAAAGACATGAACGTGAGCATGGAAAGTTTCATGCTTTCACTAATACAAACTGTTTTTTAAAAGAAAGTTGATAAAAAATGACTTACTTACCTTAATGCTTTAAAAACGGGTTACTAAGCTTTTATGAACAGTTTACTAAGCTTTATGAACGGTTCACTAAACTTTTATGAACGGTTTACTATGCTTTATGAACGGTTCACTATACTGGATTTTAACTAAGCTAACTTTTTGATTATTGAAAGTGACATGATAAGAAAAAATAAACTTTGATAATATCACCAGTGACTTTGTAAACTCAAATTTTGGGAAAGCGCATTTATGTTTTATTCCTGGTACAGAAATGATAACACCATTCAGATTAGATAAACTGACACTATTCCTATAAAAAGTGAATTAAATGCAAACTTATTTCCTGTATTATTTACTTATTCAAATTTATTGTAACAAACTTATGTCATTGATTAAATCAGTAGTTCGGGTGATGCATCATCCGTTGTCCTAAAATGACTCCATACTAAATTTTGGTACGGGCTCCTACAATGGTAAATTTGACCCTGCTTATAGTTTGTTTTTAAAAGCTTATAAATCAAAAGACTTTGTATTGCAATATTTTTTATTATATACTTTATCTGCGACATGAACTAGGTAAGTACGTTAACGTTAGGGAACATATTTTTAAAATTATTTTAGTTTCAAAATAATTGAAGTTTTTAGTGTTTATAATACTTCGTAAAATTATAATTTTCATTTCATTATAGTTTTCAAAGTATATTACTTTGAAAGCTATAATGTTTATTTAAAATTATTTTTAATACAAATATCGTGGTCTTTATAGCCCTTTTTTAGACGTAAAAAAATTTATAAGAGTACGTGTATTTTAAAATACCAATTCGATCTTCTAAAGTTCGTTAAAGTGGTATTTAGATTGAGATATACAAAGTGTATATATATTAACATTCATTAGTAACTGTATACTGTAACTATAGTAACATAACTTGTTATAATACCTTAAAGCTATATATAAAGTATCATTTTCATCCATTTTTTAATTTTTTTTGTTGAGTTTTTATAGAATAGATTATCTCGCCCAATTTTTTTTATCTTTTTTCATCGTACTCTAGGGGAGAGTGGAGCACCATGATACATATAACATTGTGACGTAAGCAATTTCATATCGTAAAATAGTTACTAGCTATATTTTGACGAAAAGATTATTAAATTAAAATTGTTATGAAAGAAAAACCAAAAGCATTTTATGGTGCCCCACTCTCCTCTATTCTTTTAAATGTATTTACACAATCATCTTAAGTACCATAGCGCAGTTCAGCAAAACCGTCCTATATATTTATTTCGGTGGGATTGATTTTCTAAAACAATAACTTTTTTTTAATTTCTTTTTTCATAATTATTTTGTTCATTTGTGTTAGTTTATTTAAGAAGTTTTCTATTTGAAAGTTGACACTATCCATTGTTGTTTATATTTTTTCAAATTTTCAACATTTACAAGTTTTCAATATACGATATGTCATGGTTTGACTCTCTTTCAAGCTTATAGTTCCAATTTGTTATTACTTTTAAATTTTTACATATTGTACCAGAAAATACTTCCCGGTTTTTAAAAATCATTACTATTTTTTTTTTTTGCTCTTCAAGTTTAGTTGCTATGAGTTTCTCTATATTTTTTTTTAATCATAACTTCCATATTTGTGAGATAAAAAATAAAAAAAAGTAGTAGCATGACAAACAGGTCTTGCAGGTTTAATATCGCAAAACAGAAAAGCTCTGAATGAAATTAAAAATACTCTGGATTGCAATAGCATAATTTTATTATTTAAACCGTCTGTTTCTGACAAGAAGTTAAGAGGACTAGAATCAGTTGAAGATGTTCTAAGGATAAATTATTTATCATTTATACTCATCGGTATTCATTTATTTCTGATTTAATGTTTTATCTTGATGTTGAAATTCATCACAGTTTTCGTACTTGTATTTTATGCAAGTTCTCTTCCATGATAACGTGCTTCTCGAGAAGCACGTTAAATTAATGCACAAGCTATTGCAGAGTCTGATCAAACTCTACAATAGCATGTGCATTAATTTTGTACTATTGTTACTAAGCTGCATAATTTATTTAAATCAGTGCATTAAAAACTTTGAATTTGTTTTTGTAACGTCATTATTCCAGTTATTATTACTTTTATTATTATTATTTTTATTACTTTTATTATTGTTGTTATTAGTTTTATTATTATTACAGGGTCGTCCACAGTTATTTTCGTCACGTCCATAATTATTTTTGTCACGTCCATAAATATTTTCGTCGCGTCCATAATTATTTTCGTCGCGTCCATAATTATTTTTGTCACGTCCATAATTATTTTCGTCGCGTCCACAGTTATTTTCGCCGCGTCCATAATTATTTTCATATTTCAACAATATAATTTCTCAAAATATTATCTTTAAAAAATATTACAAAAGAATTTTTTAAATGAGCATTAGTTGTTTAAACTACAAGTTCTAAAGTAGAATAAAGTTTAAATATTTTAAAGAATAAAAATAACAAGTTATGACAGATTCAAATACATATAATCAAGAATCAAATTTTAATGAAATAGTTGAGTTAGAGAGGCAAATCAATGGTTGTGCTTCTTATAAGAAAGCAACTATTGAAAGCATTGAAACAATAAAGAGGATGGTAGCTAATAAAGAAAAAAACGTTGATATTTCACAAGCTACTGGGCTTTCTTTAAGAACAGTCCAAAATTGGGTAATGAAACTTTCAAATAATCCCGATGCTTAACCAAAAAAACGTGGACCTGTTGCGAAGATTAATACTGACCATAGAAGAGAAATTGAACTGTTTGTATCGGCAAATAATTCCCTTACAGCGATGGATATGGGTGAACTAATATCCGAAGAAAATAAATGCTCCACAACAACTATAAAGAGAGAATTAAAAAATATGGGTTATACTAGAAAGAGATTAAAACCAATTGTGGCTGCAAGAAACTCAGCGATGGTTATAGGACAGAGATTTCTATATTGTACTCATGTTTCTTCTATTAATGATAATGATGATATAGTTTTTATTGATGAAACCGGTTTTAACCTCCATCAATCAAGACATCATGGATATGCATTAAGTGGGAGTACACCTTATATCACTGTACCAACACAAAGGGGAAGAAATATAAGCCTTATATGTGCTATTTCCGTAGAAGGTATTATATCATTTAAAATGAAAGTAGGATCTTTTGATGCTGTCAGTACGAAAGAATGGATTGAAAATTCATTGATTCCAGCCCTAAATAATTGAAGGTATGTTATCATTATGGATAATGCTCGATTTCATCATTCAGCTATTGTAACTTTTGCAATTCAAAATGGAATGTGTGTTGTTCACTTTCTCCCACCCTATAGTCCGCAACTTAATCCCAATGAAGAGCTTTTTGGGGTAATAAAAAATAGATACAATAGAATTATTCTAAGACCAGCAACAACGGGGGATATTGAAATGGAAATATCAAATACTCGTTAACATCTACAAGGATTTTATACACATATACGTGAATGGGTAGTAAGAGGAATCCAACGGAATGAATTCATTTAAATGAAATTTATCGACTATCTTATATCTTTATTTTACATCTTTGCATTTACATCTTTATACTTATATCTTTATTTACTTATTTGTATTTTTTCACATTCAAACTATTCAAACTATTTAAACATTCAAACTGTAAAATTTTTATTAAAATAGTATACGTATATTTTATCTAAAAACGTGTTTTGAGTGAATCTAAACCTATAACACTTTTTAAATTAAACTGATAGATTTGTTTCATTTTCTAAGCAATAAAAAAATATTTTATAATATCAAATAATTTTAACGTGACGAAAATAATTATGAACGCGGCGAAAATAACTGTGGACGCGACGAAAATAATTATGGACGTGACGAAAATAATTATGGACGCGACGAAAATAATTATGGACGCGACGAAAATAACTGTGGACGACCCTGTATTATTATTATTATTATTGCTATTATTATTATTACACTGGTTTACATAAAAAAACCGCAAGTAAAACATTATCAATTCCTTAAAGTTTGTTAAAAATAATTAACTTAAAGTCCTTAAAAAATAATAACTTAAAGTCCTTAAAGTTTGTTAAAAATAATTAACTTAAAGTCCTTAAAGTTTGTTAAAAATAATTAACTTTAATGCGCTTAGGTTGTGTGTATCACGTCAGATTATTGAGAAAATCTCAAAAGTGTTTGTACAAAGTTTATGCTTATACCATAAGTTTTCATAAAGATGTTAATAATTTAGTTTGAGATTTTGAACATCTGAAGTTATTAGCTAAACTGGTTACATCCCGCTTACAAGAACAGAGCTTTCTCACTCCTGAAACTAGTGTTAGTGTGTACAGATATCGTGAAGCAGAGTTTTTAAGTTTTACATTTTTTTTTCAAGTAAATAAGACTTGTTATATTGTGATAATATTAAAGATCCTGTCACATTTATGGAAGTTGCTTATAATCAACCTTAAGATTGATGGAATGCAAATATGATGGCCGGCTCTAGCTAGTCATTTAAACGTCATAGTTCTTGTGCTTTTTGAAAGCGAAAATAATTGAAAAGACAATCCACAGAGCATTAAGTGTAATTCTACTTTTATATTACGCTTTGGGTAATATTTTTGTAACTTCTAGTAATTTTCTTCATGATTGAAGTTTATTATCCATCGTATATTTTGTTGCTGGTTCATTGGCTTTTTCCTATATTAATAAATTTTGAATCGCAAAAAAATCTTAACGTGGTACAAATATTTGAATCACATATTTGGAATCATCATGAAAAGTTGTGTAAGAAACACTTATGTACACTTTTGCAGTTTTTAGAAAATAAAAACTAGTATATCAGTGTTATTATTACTACTAATAATACATTTTGCTTCTATTTTTATTTGTAACTAATGTCATAAGAATACTTTCAGTTTTCTGAATACATGGCTGAAAACAAACTTCCTTACCTTCCTAAAATAAATAAAAAGAAAACTATTTTTTTTTTCTTTAATAAAAATTTATGTTATAAAGCTGTATTAAATATAATTAACTATTATTTTATTATTGTTGTTATGCATTAAATTTATATTTATGAATATGAATTTATGTTATGCTTGCATTAAATCAACATAAATAACCTTATGATAGTTTTAAAATAATATTCGTTAATAATACATTAGTTAAAAAATACAATCAGCTAAGTAAACCAAAAATTACCGAGAAGAAAAACACTTTTTGCGGTGGCCAGATTTCGGAATTTGGTCATCGCAAACAGTCAATCTGGCAACCTTGCAACAATTTATAAATGTCTAATTATATCTCATTAAAAGTGTCAAGCTTGCGATACATTAGATATGTTAAGCAACCATCAGATAATAAAATAACTTTCATTTTTATAAAAATTTCTGACAATTTAGATAAGAACATATTTAATTCTTTGATGAAGTGAAGACTATATTTAATCCTGTTAGTCGGATTATTGATTTATATTCGGCGTATTTATTATTTGTTAAAAAGAAAATACATACTTAAATTGTTTTTGTGTGGTTTAAATAATAACAAAGCTTAAGGAAGAGGCGTTCAATAAAAAAATATCAAAAGAGGCTTTTAAACAGAAGTATATCATAATAAAAAGTTTATGTTACCGTTTTTGATTCATTTAGAGCTAACTATTTTTTTTCAGTTTTTCAATAATGCAAAAATAGTTTCACTAAAGTCAAAACTTAAAAATAACAAAACTCAACCATGTATGTAGTTATTTTGATATTTGAAGCAATGAATAATAATTAGTTTATATTATTTAGCTAAGAAATGTCTTCGGAATCAACAATACATAATTGTGAAGATTTAGTTATCAAATCAAAATTTGAAGAAACGTCACCACTTTTATCAATAAAAAAACATCTTGGTTACCAACGATGGGTTATGTTATTTATTTATTCGCTTAACAGCATAGTTGTCGGACTTTTATATATAGGAATAAGTCCAAAAAGTGTTATCTCGAAAAATTATTATAAAATAAGTGAGCTTAGTATTCAGTTACTAAATAATCTTTTTTTCGTTGTTTTCATTGTAACTGCAATGCCTTCATCCTACTTTGGTGTTTAGAATTGGATTAAGATCTGTGCTGGTTCTGGCTTCCGTTTTAAGTGTTTTAGGTACTGGTTTTCATTTAGCCGGTTTTTGTCAAAACGGTTTTAAATTATTCATTACTGGTCAAATTTTTGCTGCACTTGGAAACAGCGCTATTTTGCAAATGCCCAGTCAGCTCTCGTCGCAATGGTTTCCAAATAACGAACGAGGGAAGTCTACAGCTATTGGTTGTTTTACGAATATGGTTGGGGGAACATTAGGTTTTCTGCAAAATACATTTATGATTACAGAATACAATAACTTTGACAAGCTCAAAAATCAGTTTCGAATGTTTTATTTAACACGGTTTGTGTTTGTCATTATTACGTTTTTATTAACGTTAATATTTTTTAAGAATCCTCCATTGCACGACTCTCAATATTATGCATCGCCATCACAAAACTTTATTAAAAAAGGAAAATCCAAAAAATATCTCATAATGCTTTTGACAGACAAACACTTTCTAGTTATGTCACAATCATATTCAATTTATTTTGGGCTAATCGCAGCAATACCTTTGATTTTGGACTTATTCATGAGCAAATATAAAAATAAACTTGCAGAAAATGTTGGGTGGATGGGAGTATTTAATCTTATTTGTGGAACTATCGGTTGTATTGTTTTTGGTATATTATTGGATAAAATAAAAAAATTTCGAGCATTAGCAATTGTTATTAATTTTAGTGCTACGATGACGTGGTTAGCATTTATTTTGACATTGAAAAATATAGATAATTTCTTTGGACCATTTGTAATGTTTTTGATCTATGGATTTTTTGCTTATCCTTACTTAACCATTGGACTTGAGCAGTCCGCAGAAATGACATTTCCAGTTCCAGAGGAGTTTTCAAGTACATTTATTCTAATTATTGCTAATCTTTACTCTTTAATATTTAGTCTTGTTTTCGGGGTTTTTTTTCAACTTGGTTTGGTTGCAACTGTTCCTTATACTATAACAGGTTTTTATCTTTTAAGCACATTTCTAACTTGTGTTGTGAAAACTTATTTGAAAAGAAATTCTGCTGAGATTTCTCTTGCATTTAACTCTAGATGTAACTAAAAAATACAGTTAAAATTTTATCGGTTGAAAAAATTATTATTGCGATTAAAAAACTTTACTAACATTTTATTCACTAAACAGTGAATAAAATTTAAAATCGTAAATCAAAATAAATAATTTTATAATCATAATAAATAATTCTAGAAATTAGCACTTTATTTTGAAATTTTAAAAATATATATATTTGAAATATTTTATATAACTATATTTAATTAAATTTATTTGTTTTTGCAGTACTTTCTATATATTTGAAAATTTCTAAAACAGTTGTTGCAGGTTAGATGCAATTGATATTGCATGTTAATTGCAATTGTTGTTGGAGATTAATTGCAACTTTTGTTGCAGGTTGACTCTAATTCAAGGTTTGATTGAAAAACATTTTTATGGTGCTCAAAGAAATCGCGGCGTTTAGATTTAAGTCTGCTTAAAGTCCATGGCTTTAACCATCCTATTTAGACATCATTAAATACTTAATGTTATATAAATAGATAAATATTGGTCATTTGTTTTATGACTAATAATGTGGTGATTTGTTATTGGTAACGTTTGATACTTAATATTATGCAAATTATTAATTATTGGTAACTTTAATACCGTTATTTCTAAAAATTAAGAAATTAATATATATTATTATATAATTAATAAATAAGATAAATAAAAACAACTTTATTCAATATATAATTCTTTTTGTGTTGGAATTTTATCCAGATTATTTAAGTTATATTTACCAGTAAGTTTCTTGACAAAATATTTTTTTAATTCAAATTTAGTATATTTTATATATTAAGTTTGAATAAAAAAAAAATCTATCAGATTTTTTTTCTTATTTAAACTTAATATATAAAATATACTAAAGCACATCTATCGCAAATAATTAATAGGAAAGTTAGGATGCATAATTTTGGGACAATATAGATAATGTATTCATAAAAGATTTTATATAAAAAAGTACCAAAATAATAAAGTTGGATTGTCTTATTTCAGCCAATTATTTAATCAGATTATGAATGCAGTTTCAGGCCTCCAGATAGTTGCGTTCAGTATTATGACTTTCTTTATTATAAGAATTAAATTGTTTGTTTTTGCAGTATATTTAATAAAATTAATAGAATTAAAATTTATTGATAATCAAAATATTAGTTGTTTAAATAAGAGATAACGCTCACAGATTAAAATTACTTACGACACTTGCATTAAAATGAGCGATGTTTTTATACGATTTTTAATCAGGGTAAATTTTTTAATCATTATAAGTGATTATTATATAAAGTAAAGTAGTCTAATAACCCTTTTAGATTTTGTTAATCATTATTAGTGATTATTATATAAAGTAAAGTAGTCTAATAACCCTTTTAGATTTTGTTGATTATTATTAGTGATTATTATATAAAGTAAAGTAGTCTAATAACCCTTTTAGATTTTGTTGATTATTGTTATGAAAATATTGCATTTTTGAAAAAATCTTTTATTTATTAACTAGAATGATTATTTAGCTGTAGAAATATCATTATCTATTATACCATATTTATATTTACTATATTATAATACTATATTTAGATACTATATTCAGGTATTAGCTATTTAAAGATGAATAGATTTGTTTCTCTCAACTGAAATATTTTTATAGAAGTATCATTTTTTAAAAGAAAGGTACTAAAGACGATTAAGCCTCAAACGCCATACCACCCACAAATTTTTTTATATTTCGTTATTCATAACGCAGTTTTAAAGGTACGATTTTAAAGGTACGATTAAAAATGAATCATTATTTAATAAATTATATTATTTATTGAAATTGTTATTACAAATAATTATAATCTAACCATTTAGTTGCTTTTGCTAAATGATGGATATCTTTTAGGGACGTTTAAAGGAAATTTTTTGGGTAAGTCTTAAAAAATTATGCCCCCTCCCCTCAGTGACAAATCAGGGGAAAGGGCATGGTGAGAATGCATTCCCCTCCTTCCCCTCCCCACCAGAACATGAAAGTCCCCAAATATCTTAGAAATGGAGGACCTTTTTTTTTTAAGGAAATACAAGTGTGATACAAAACACAAATTTATTTCAACACCCCCTCCCCGCAAAAGAAACTCCTGATTCCGTCACTTATTTTTTTAAATTTTGACCGGGTTGAGTGTATCTTATAAAAATGTTTTAATAATTCTTTAAATGACTTATAACTTTTCTAAAATGGTCACTAAAGCTGAAAATTTGATTTTTGCAAATTAAAATTAATTTTTTTAAAATAATCGGTTGACATAATATATAATAAACACAAGTTACAATATTTTAAATACAAGATTTTGCTGTGGAAATTTTTTTATTTAATTTTATAACTTTTAATTATAAATAAACTTTTAAATACTTACCAAGAGTCTAAAAACTTATTGTGATAGCTGTACAATGCTAAATATTGTTTTTACAAAGATATCTGGCTATGAAAATAGCTGTTTAACAAAAAGTAGCTTGGACATTTTTTTGAAATCATACTTTTATCATATTTGAACTTTTTTAAAACACAACTCATAAGTTTTTATGACAAATTTGTTTAGTATATAAAGACAGCTTGGTGTGAAAAGATAACCATTTAGACTTTATTTACCATTTTGCTTTGCAACTTCTTCTTTCTATTCTCTAATAATCTTTTAGGCGCCTCAGTAAAGAATAGGTGTGTTGGCTTTAGTTTTTCAGTATTACTAGATTGGAATTCATTTTTCAAATTCAACCAGTTAAGTGGAATTCAAATAAATTTCCCACAGGTCAAACTCACGTAATAAAGTCTTTGGTTTGGCTATTATAAATAAGCGTAATAAGCAATTGATTGAACAAAAGGAACTATAAGATGGGATGTGGTCTTTCCAACTAGTATAAGATGAACACTGAATTTCTGCAATTGCTTTTAGAAATAAAAAAATTAAAGAAACTAAAAATGAGAACAAAGAAACTAAAATACAGGCGCTTTATAACACTTTAAAAATGTATCATCAAACATTGTGTTAAACCCAGTATTCAGATGATCTTGCAAAGGAACAGTGATAACCCATTTGAAATAATTTGAAATGTATTTTTTAGTGTTCAAAGTATATTTAAAGGTGTTGATCAACAATATTTTTAAGACAAAATCTTTTAATGCTTCAATAAGATTCAAACTATAAAACATGCCGCCAGCGTTATTAGACTACATTACCCTAAATAAATTTATATATAAGTTTAAAGCTACAGTTTATGGAAGAAACTTTTTGACTACCATTTAAAAAAGACTTTTTTTAAAAGTTCAAACATTCATCTATTAAATTAGAAACAAAAAAATAATTATTGTGTATCTTAGCAATATACAAAACATAAAAGAAAAATGTTAGAAAAAAGGCATGTTTCACATAGTTTAACCATGATTTAACCTCTTTTTTAACAGTGTAACACAAATGTAATATATAATAATTTAGCATTGGACTGTTCTTGACACATTTTTTAAAAAATCACCTTAAAAAATTGTCTCTGATATATGAATGAGAATGAAAATGTCATCATTTAAAAATATAAACAAGCTTTTTTATAATTGAAAATAAACACTTTAAAAACACTTTTTTCGAACCTTATTGGAATTAAATGAATAACTGTTATAGATTTGCCCATTATATTCAATGTATTAATATTTATATAAAAAAAGTTGTTTATTATTAATATGTAAACGAATTAAGTTGTCCGGAGTCACCCTTCAAACATGTGTCAGATACCACCCGATCATACTTCATTCACAAATACTTGTTTTAAAACCAGTGAATTAAACTTTTTAACGAATTTTTTTTTAATAACTAATGTAAATAAAAATATATTTTTAGTCATTAAAAAGTTATTAGTTTACATAAAATTTGGTATATTAATATGTGAATCAAATATGATGATACGTTGCTCTTCTGGTGGTGTGAAACAAAATCTTGCCCTCCCAGTCATTTGCTTCGGCATTTTATGATAGATATTTTGCATATGCCATATTTTTTTAATGTTATTCTAGTATTAAAAATCATATAGCTTCTTTAGCTTAAGCTGTACATCAAGTGCCCGGAGTTACCCGCCGTCCGGGGCTATCCGACTTTCCCCTATATATATACCCAGTGGCGTAGGAAGGTTTTTAAATGTTTGAAATAACCAACTTATAAACAACAAGAATATTCCAAATTTTTTTTACGTTCATATGTCTGACGAAAAGATTCTTTAAAAAAAAAATTACTGTGATAGGAGAATTGGAACTAAAACCCTAAAATCTTAGCCCCCTCCCCTGCCCCAAACGTGAGAGCAACAAGTTTATGAAATATTTTTTGTACTATTTTTAACTAAAATTATATTCATCGAGAAATTTTAAATTTTGTAGTAAAATATTTTAGTGTTCAAAAATTATGACCATATAAAGTTTGCAACCCCCCTTAAATTGGTGGGGGGGGGGGTTAAACATGGTGACGGGGTGCAACATCATGCTGAAAATGGGTACAGGAGTGTATTGCCTTATATGGGGAAAACTTTTCTCTCAAAACAACCAGATAAATTTGCCCATAATTGGTCATATTCTTTGGCATAAACCAAATACCAAATACCATTAGAAGGCACTATTTCATACACTAATTTGATTTTTAAAAAATTGAGTTTATTGTTTATATATTTTTATTTTTTCATACATTTTAACATTTTATAAATTATTTATGAAATGATTTAGGTAAAACAAAAGAATTCTCATTTAATTAATTAAATTAATTAAAAAACAAATTCATTTTCATCAGACATATCTCTGTAACCTTGCAGCTGACCTGAATTCGGTTCAAATGAACTTTTTACTGACACAGAAAATAAAAACAGTCAACAACAAAATATTCAATAACAGCCAACTAACCACAAAGTTATTTACTGTGAGTTGTGGCTTTTGATTAGTGTGAATAAGTCATGCATTACAGCCTAGAAATGTCATAGATGTCAATTGACCTCAAAATCTTTTCGAATAGAGATATATAGAACAGTTGAGGTATTGAAAATAGTTGATAAGTAATTGCTAGTGATTCCTAGTCTTTAATAAATTAACAACTTGATATACTTTTTAAAAGTACATCAAGTTGTTAATTTACTAAACACTAGAAACGTATTTAGGGGGTTTAAAATTAACATAACCTAACCCAACATAATTAAAAGTAACTTTTAATTATGTTGGGTCAGTAATATCAAAACCGTTAAAATTTATGAGTGATTCAAAATATTACATTATTTGACTTATAAAGACTTTTGAGGGGTTACCAATATTTACATTGTACCCCATTTTATAAACAGATTAAGTATTTTATAAACAGATGAAGTGTGTAAAAATTTCAAATTGTTTAAATAATAGATTGTTATATATCGTTGGAAAGAATTTTAAAAAAATACTCCAAAACTGAAAATGTTATCAAAATCGGATGATTCTACAAAAAGTTATGAGCATTATAGTGACAAAATTTAATTACAACGATTCCTTAACAAAAATGTGACCAATTTATAATGGTTTTGTAACTTAACTTAACTTATCAAGAGATAGGTGTAACATTGGGCTACAAGCTTTTTTTTCGCTTTTAACACCTGTGCGTATTCAGGGGGCTAGAGGGGGGACAGAAAAAACATCTTTGCCATTAAAAATTAATTAATAGAAGTATATCCTGTTAATTTTAAATTTATTTTACTTTTAAAAATTGGCAAAGTATTTTTTGATACTGGTTCACAAATTTAGACATATTTTATTGCGCTGGTTCCACTTCGTAAGACTTTTTATTCACATAGTTTACTTGTCAAACTTCAAACCATAACCTTTACTTAGCTTTAGATCAAATGTTTTGCCTGTCGTTTTTTGCGCACGCGCTTTAGAATGTAAACAAAGCAACCCGTATATAAGTTTCATGCTAAATGCAATCATCAGGTGTAAATATGTTTTTGTTCTCGTGAAAAAAATTTTAAATCTGTACAAAAGGAAATGAGTTAAAAAAACTAATCTTTTGGTTTGTGGTTATCCAGCAAAAACTTGTTCTCATGGCGACATTTAGATATTAGTTCGTTTTTTTTTGTAATAATTCTTGAGAATTTTTGTGCAGTAGGGACTTTTTTTTACGGACTATTAGTGAACTAATAATTCACCTAAGTTCATTTCATGGGTGATTTTCACCCATGAAACTCAATACAATACAGCTCTGTTTTAATTTAAATCACTTTAATTTACTTTAATTCATCGAGCACTCTCACGACGATATATGCAAGCACTAATACGTATACATTTCCTTAAAACAGTTTCCTTCATTACGCCTATGTTAAAATAATAAGTAAGCTATGAAACTGTTTTCTTTCTATAAACTGTCCACTGAGGCAGAACCGCATAGACGCACAGGAGGCACAACTGCATACTTTTAATATTTATCAAAGTTAGGTAATTACGAATAACAATAATTAGTCGTCATACTTGAATGTGTTCATGTAAAAACTTGAATAGAAATAATTTTGTTTTAAGATGTTGTAAATTAGATTTCGTATTTTTTTATTTAATTTTTATAAATGAGTTTTTGAATAAAATATAAAGCTAAGAGCATAAATCGATATCTTGTTATATTTATGAATACCTGGTGATTATTATATTATTATATATTGTTGGTAGATAATTCTGTATTTTTTAATTTTGAAATTAAAGAAAACGTACAACGAAAAGTGTATCTCTAACAGTTTTTGTGAGGGTGCGGTTGTGCCTCACAATGGAGGCAAAACCGTTTTTTTCACTAAGTGTAATTTTTAAAATATAAATATACGCAGGTTAAAACATTCAATAAATAAAAATATAAAAAAAAAAAAAAAAAAGATTAAATTAAAATAAAACAAGAATGAAATTAATGAAATAGGTTATATCTACTATAGGTTATAACTATACACAGTAGAATCCCGTTAACTCGGACTTTAAACGGGTATATTTTGTCCGACTTAGAGTTAAGCGAAGTTTTTGGTATGTATAGAGAATTCAAAGGAAATTGAAAATTTCAATCTTAAAGGTAAAAAATAACTTAAATATAAATCTTGTTCCGGAATTTTATTAACAATACCGGCAATCCGGTTTCAGCCCGAATTCAAAATTTCCGTTCCGGTACATACCAAAAAGTTTTAGGTCTGTAATATTCAAAATCGATAATACCTTTTTTTTGAAGCATACCACCCTATCCAACTTGTATCTGCTCACAAACTGAGATGTCGCTCTTTCACTATATTACGTATAAGTGTATAATTATAAAAGACAAAAGACTTGGTTTTGCTTATTATTCCCTTGCTCTTATTATATTGCTTTATACTTTCGTTCAAATAATCATAAACAAAGCATATTTAAAGGTATTAATTACAGATTTACTTTTATTTGTGTAGTAGTACTGCAACTTATAAAATTAAAAAAAAGTTTTAGTCTATAAAATAATGGATGTTATTAATAAATAATATTATTATTTTTATTATTCAAATTAAAAAGGCTACACATTTTTTAACAATATAAATAGTTTTTTGATTTATTTTTATCATTAAAATCAAGTCCAGCTTTTATTTAAAGTTTTTTGTATGATAAAATATGTATAAGTTTTTACAAGTTTTTATTTAATAATATATGAAGATATTGTGAAAAACTAGTATGTATTTATTATTAATAATGTTTATTAATAATGCAATTTTTTAATGTCATTAAAACTATCATTAATAATGATAGTTTTTTCACTTGTAAAGTTATATTATATCAACATAGTAATTAGGTTACATATTATTTGCCTAAATTGTTAAAGCTACTCTAAGTTGTTATTTATTTATATAATTAATCTAGTTATGTACTTATTCTGCCCCCAGCTAAAAATGAGACTTTTTTCAAACCTAGCCTCGTCTCCTGCCCCGGTATATCTATAAAGTTTAGCAGGGTTGATAGCCAGGGCTATAAAAAAATTTATAATACTTTATATATTATAATATTATGGTTACATTTATTATTTATTAAATACTGGCGTGTATTTATATACTTTCAAACTCTAATTTACTTTTAACAAGATTGCACGCAACCACTATTAAGTTATGAATTACTTTAAAATAGGGAATAATTAAAAAAACTAGGAAACGGTTAGCTGAAGACTTAAAAAGTTGTAGGTTGTATATAAAAGAAAAACATGAAATTTTTTTTAATGTGCAAAGAAAAAAAACTAGATTAATAAATGTTTTTATAGCATGAAGGTACAGATACAATAAAAGGATGCTGCTTGTTGAATAAGAAACCAAGCAAGTATGAGTTTTGGTTTATCTTATTAGAGATGATAGCTCGTTTGAGGATTGACCATGATGGTATTGGTAGAAAAAAAAAAAAAGAAATGCAACCTTGCAACAATAGGAGAGTGGTTTAATCTTGACAGATACAGCAGGTCTAATTACATTTACAATGTGCATTTAGATTTTGTCTGAGAATAATAAAGTTGTTATTCATCAATATATGAATGCCAACATTGCAATATTTTTTTGCAGTAAATAAATGAGTTTTGTTGTTTAACAAAAATTATGGATTTTAAGTCCATAATATAAATTCATAAGCCACTGCAAGCCTTAGGTTGTTACAGAAAAGAGATCAGATTAAAAATTGGCTGCTTGTTTTAAGCAATCAAAATGTGAAGATTTTTTGTCAAGACAAGTCTATAGACAGGGGCTATTCTAGACCGTTTGCATTAGCTTCGACCATATTTGGGTGCCGATTTGACGAAATTAAAATTTGAGGACCTTTTTTTTTTTTTACAATTTTATGGCAAATATTGTTTTTTTTGCTAAAATAGCGCCAATTTTCCATTAAAGTCTGCTAAAGTTTTTATGAAGATTGATATTGTAGATAAGAAACAATACAAAAGCAAATATAGAACCTTGTGGCACCTTAAAGTTACTTGAAATAAAGAAGAGTTTAGGCCTTCAATAATAACTTACATACTGCAGTTAGAAAAAAATAATTTAATTATCTCAAAACCTTTATATAAAGAAAATAATAATAAAGTGAAGACTATTTGTAGGCTAGTTTGAAAGGTCAAAGTGTTTTCTAAAGTTTAAAAAAAATGGAACCACTAATTTAGCATCTTAGCAAAAATTAAAGAAAGTTCTGGAGAACACTTTTATAAGACTACGATGGAAATCTTGTCAGAAACACAAACTGTAGAAATGTTTAATTGACTTAAGCATTAGAAGCTAGAGTGATTTGGATGTTTAACAATTGGTTAATCTGTTTTTTATCTGGGTTAATAGATTCAAGAGTCAAATAAGAGTTGATTTCTTTGCAAATAGCTCTGCTTTAATTTAGGGAGAAGTAGAAAGATCAGACCCATGAATTAAAGATTAAATATTAGACTTACTTTAGTTAATGACATTGTTGAAAAATAACCAAAAGTCTCTAGAACCTAACATTTGATATAAGATGCAAGATTTTTTTGTCCTTTTTACAATGGCTTCTTGGAATAATAAAAGGATATTTGCTCTTAAGAGAGATATTCTTGAAAAAAAGATTTAAAAAAAATGAATTTTTGAAAAAGCAACTGCTCAAGATCGTTAAAAATGTGGAGTAGAATGAAGCTTGATTAAAATTGAAGAGTAGGAATAAAAGCTTTCAAGATGCCTTTTATGCATGCATATTATAGATAGAAACATATATGTTTGCCATTTATTTAGATGCTGGCATACAATTTTATATAAACTTTTATAAAATTGTATTCATTTTTCAATCATTTTTATATAAACTTTAATATTTATTTATTAATTTTTTTTTAATTTTTTAACATCTTCGCTTCCAACAAAGCTGCAAGCAACTACTATAAGAGTTAAAAGTTACTAGAAGAGAAATGATGAAGATTGTAGAGCAAGATAATGGGCATAATTAATGATAAGATAATTGACAGATTAATTGATAATAAGATAATTGACAGTTGACTTAAAAGATTGCAAATTATATGAATCAGGAAAGCAAGATAAAGGAAGCGAATTCCAACGAACTGATGTTCGAGGAAAAAAACTAGGCGAATAAGAGTTTTTGGAGCACTTAAAAACAGTCACAGAAAAAGGATGAGACTTAATTGAATTACAAGTAACACGAGAATAAATTTTAGTAGATGGCACAAGAGATGCTAGCTCTTTAGAGCAGTGCCCATTATAGTATTTGTAGAAAAGAGAAAGAGACGCAACATTATGACGATGTAATAATGGTTGGAGGTTGGTTTCAAGAGCAGGTCCATCTATGTTTACAATGTGTTTTTGCACCTTGTCTAAAAGAGAAAGGGCATCATTAGAAGATCCGCCACAGATATGGCAACAGTATTCCATACAATGCCAGATTTGAGATTTATAGAGATAGAGAATAGAATCCAGAGTAAGAAATTGACGAGCTCGATAAAGAGAAGCAACTTTAGCAGATGCTAATTTTGCTACGGATTTGATATAAGGTTTCCAAGAAAGATCAGAAGTGAGAGTTAATCCTAGAAGATGAAGGGTAGATGACTCATTGAGTACATTACCGTTCATAAATATAGGATGGTCTAAATTATTGCGATAACGATTGGCTAAAAAAAATTTAGTTTTATCTGAATTAAAGTTCACCAGCCACTGTGAGCCCCATGCTGTAGCAGAAGTGAGATCTTTTTCAAGCTCAAATGCCCCCTGCAAGCAATCAGAGGGAGTTGGCTTCTTATCATGACAAGTATACCTTGAGGAACCCCTGAGGTTACAGAATAAGAAGAAGAGTGCTGTCCATCATGGACAACTTTTATACTACGATTGGAAAGGAAAGATTCAATAATCTTAAGATGTTTCCAGATACACAGTAAGAAGAAAGCTTATGGAGAAGACCAGCATGCCAAACTTTATCAAATGCTTTAGAAATGTCAAGAGCAAGGGCCTATACCTTTCCAACTTTATCTAATGCACGATAAAACCTATTGGTTATTAATATTAGCAAATCAGCTGTAGAACGAGAAGATCGAAATCCATTCTGATGATTAGAAAGTAAGTTATTAGATTCAAGATGAGAGATTAAGTGTTTGTTAATTAAAGATTCAAAAACCTTGCTTATGATAGAAAAAAGACTAATGGGACAGTAGTTAGACAAATCAGATCGCTCTCCAGAATTTTTAAAAATAGGGATAACAAATGCTGCTTTCTAGCAGGTTGGAAAACAAGACTGATAAACACTTGTTGAATAGTTTTGAAAGAATAGACGACAGCTCCGGAGAACACTTCTAGAAGACTATAACAGGTATGTTGTCCGAACCTCAAGCTGTAAAAGAGTCTAAGTAGTTAATCACTTTAGATTCAGAAGCTGGGGTGATACGAATGTCAAGCAATGGATCAACCTGTTTGATGGCTATATCAGGTAGAATGCAACTAGTGGAATCAAGAGATGATATTGATAAAAAGTTCTTAGGAAACAATTCAGCTTTGTCTTTAGATGAGGTGGAATAACAGATTGCTTATTGATACTATTAAAGATTCACCAGAAGTCACAAGAGCCTAATTTTTGTGATGAAATACAAGATTTCATGACCTGAGAATAGTGGGCTAGACAAAACCTTTTTACAAATGAATCGGCTCATGCTAAAAGGGAATTAGTCAACAACACATAGTTTTGAGGAAACTAAATAAAACTTTGCATTATTTTCATTTTTGACTAAAAAGATGCAATTTTTTTGTATATAAACTCTTTATTACCCCAGTTATTATGGGACATACTTGAATAATGACATTAAAGTTGTTTGACATATCCCCTTTTAGTATAATTTGAATAAAAAGACATAAATGTGTTTAAAAACAATGTTATTTACTAAAAACACTAAGAAATCAATATTTGCATATACTCTAATTTATAAGAAACTCATTTTATAAATATATACTGTATTCAAATCTAGTTAGTCTGAGATAAGCAATATAAGCAATGACAACTTAGTCATCGTTTTCAACTTCAACTTTTTCGGTTGTAGGCCACATATAAATTTCAGCATAAAAGTTTTCAAACTCCACTGGAATATAGGGTTGTAATTTTTTTATGTCTGCCATTTTTTCAATCTTTATTGATACTTTTCCTGCAGGGTAAGTTTCTTTACTTGGAAAACATAAGTTTGGGCAAGCTGTTGCTCTAAATGAAAAGCTGTGATTTATTATAGAATCGATGAAAGATCGTCCAATAACCTTAGAAGGAAATTTTATATCATATGTGCAGTGCATGAACTTGCTAATTGAAAAGTACTGCTTTTCGTTCTTTTTAACTTTTTTTTTGCTTTTCGTTCTTTTATAAAATTGCGGCCACCACATCTTGAAGTCTAAAATTTCTGAAGATTGAACTTTTTGTACCATAAATTTATCATTTTTGGAGGATGCCTTAATAAGTTCACATACTTGGTCTACTGTGTACAGTCTATCATGTCGGTTTAGTTCTCGCTTTATTATGCTAAAATCCTTATCACATGGTAGGAAGGAGTGCTTTCTTATTGGGTAGAATTGCTCAACCTTTTCAAATTTCTTTAAATCAGTCATGGCTAAGAGTAGCCTAGATAATGAATGGTTTTTATTTTGGCCCCATCAATTATCTGAGAATAAGTGGAGTTCAGTAAACTGCTGCTCTACTTTCATTAAGTAGTTAAATAGAAAGGAACACACTACATCTGGACCCGTGCCTGCTGTTCCTTGGTGGTAAACAAAAATCTGTGCTTTGTTACTTTTATTGTTATGAATACAAAAAACATTAACTGAAAGTTGTCTCAGATAGAAGGTTTCTTGTACTGGTATTTTTGGGATCTGTATGTTCTGCATAAAGTCAAAACACAATGATAAAATTTGTCTATTGTCCTTGTCATTGACGTCTTTTTGGATTTGATCATATTACTTTTTTGATTTGCATTTATGTACATCAAGTTCAGATTGAGCACACCTTTTTGCTGCCTCGTTGAGACGAGGACTCCTTAATTTCATATTGAGTTCCTCGCAAGCATATGTCAACTTGTGGCCTTCTTTAGGAAAGATTATAGTTTTCTTTAAAGTAGTTGAAATACTTTGTTCCTCCAACTTTTATTGAAAAGTAATTTTCTTTTAACAGCCTATACATAGTTTTAACATTTAATGTGGCATCTAGATAGCATATAGGCTTTCCAAGATAGTGGCTTTCATTAGTTGGAAAGCTTTCAATATGCTGTCTGATAAAAAGTTTGATTTCTTTAGACAATACTTGTTTTATATGACGTCCTCTATTATCAACTGGGCTTTTCGCAATCGTTTTCAAAGCTTGCAATCTTTCAACTTGTTTTTTAGTAACTGCATGTAAAAGCTTTAAAACAAACCAGCATTCGATCAGAACCCACCGTAACATGATACTTAAAGGTAACACTTTTTTTTTTAGAACTGTCTTCCTTTCTGGGTCGTCTCTGCTTTACTTCTTGGGAATCAATCAAGGGTTGTAGGAACAAATCTTGCTCATCTTTAGTGTTGAAGGCATGGAAATGGTTTAATATATCCATTTGATCCTCTTCATTAATAGTCTCAAGACAGTTGTTTCTCTTGCAGCTGAAAAAACAAAAGATTATTTTATACTGTGTAAAATTTTTTACCTACAAATAAAAGTGTAAAACTGTAAAACTACTCACTAATATTGAATACAAAATAACATACCTGCAGGGAAAGCCAGTACACTTTTGAGGTACAGTATTTCCTTGGTAGTTAACATAATCTTCACCTTTTGTTCAGTCAGTGTTCATGCTAGAAGGAGTTAAGTCAGTGACTTAACTCCTTCTAGCATGAACAGCACTACAACTGATTCCAGTTACTAGGGTAACCAAGCCTCTGGCATGTCTGATTTTATCATAAACACTTAAAACCTACTATTGAAATATGAAAACCATTATTAACACAATTTTCACTTTTTGTGACTTATCCCCTTTTAGCATGACTCGATTCAAATGTTTCTAGCAGTAATAAACAGACTTCTGTTTTTTGGAGAATTGTTTTGCTGATAGATATGCAAGTAATAGTTTTGATTAGAAATTGCAGCAGCACAATGTGAGGAAAACCATGTGGAAGATTGAAGCTTGAGCTGGAATCATCGACAGGCAATAAAAGACTCCATGCCAGTCTGAATCCACAAAGTTATGTAAGAAGCACATTTGTAAGCAGGAAAACAAAAGATTTCTACCCAAGGTCCATCATGAAGAAAATCTTGAAAAGAGTCCCCAGTCAGCTTTAAGGTAGTTGTAAGAGTTAAAATGATAAGGGGGATTTAGATAGTGAAGAAGAATGAGATAATAGTTTTTAGAGAGATCGAACCCTGTTAAAAAATACCTAAGGGTTTACTCTTAGGTAAACCCTTAGGTGAGAGACTGAGCACTGACTAGGATCAGAAACAAGACATAAGTCAAGAGGAGAATGTAAATGATTTGGATTGTCTGGAAAGCGAATTGGAAAGTTGACTATTTGAGTTGGAGATTGAGAAAGACAAAAGTTGAGGGTTTTAATGCCTGCAGAGTCACTGACACTAGAGCCAAGCCATTCAGTGTGATGAGCATTAAAGTCACCAACAACAATATTGGCTGATGTATAAAAAGATTTGTTCACAAATAACATCAAAAAGAGTGCAGTCTTCAGATGAAGGAGAGCGATGTAGAACAAAGAGAAAGGCAATAGAGTGAAGTGGTACTAAACAAAAGCACATAAAAGAATAGTCTGTGGATTCAAACCTAGTTTCCTGACAAATGGGTGAATTCTTAAGAATGTAAATGCCCAGGCCAAGCATGTGACTATTAGAGTCTTTACGAATTAAAGGAAGATAACCATCAACACTAAGATCAAAAGATGAGACAGCTGAACTCAAATTAGTCTCACAAAAAGCAAGTAGGTCTAGTGAACTTTGCAAGAGATAAGACTCAACAGAAGAAAAGTTACTTTGAAGACCACAAATATTAGTGAATGATAGGTTTAGAGAACTTGTTGATGATGATCCTAATGAGGGTACAGGTCTAAAACTGAGTTTTAGAGCTGTACCCTCATTAGGAGATAGTAGAATGAGTTGCTTAGTCATAAAAACTGAGACACAAGCAAAACTCATGCATTGAGTCAAGAAGATCCAGCATTCAACATCTTAAAGTGGAAACAATTTATTAAAGATACATCTGCGCCAGCCTAATAAATGAAGAAGGGTTGCGAGGCTGGTCAACACATAGAATCTGTTTACCCCTTAAGTCTTTGCCTAGGAGGCCATCTATAAGACAGTAGCCGGATGCATTTAACATCTGCCCAAGATTACTATTTTTATCAAGACACCATATCTAGCCTTTACTCAACCAAGAGCCCCAAGGCAGGGGGTATTTTAAGTCGGAGTTGGCTTCTCCTAGCCTTTGCCTAAAAAAACATCCTTAAATACAGCAAGACATGAAGCAGATTGTACTTGGTTACATGTTACCAGTAGCAGGGTAACCTGATCTGACATAAATTTGGTGTAGTATTTGCGAAAGAGACGATGAAGGCTATGATGGTGGTGGTGGTGGTAATGATGATGATCATGTTGATTATAATGATGTTTATATATGCATATACATACAAAATATAACATGAGTTTTGAATAAAAAGATATACTTTAGGATGTATAAATGTTCATGCAGCCCTGGTCACAAACCCGGCCTTGGCTATATTTTATCAAACCCAGCCCCAACCCAGGTCAAATATCAACCCTGGTCGCTTACTAGTATTAATAAATGATTATCAAATTAATTTATGTTACTAAATTATAACTAAGTTATTGAAATTTGTTAGTTTTTTTGAAAATTATTAATAAGTTTTCGAAAGTTAGTTCCTGTTACTATTTAAAATTTTTATTTTAATTTCAATGCTTTTGGATCTGAAAGTAAGTGATAAGGGTTAGTTCTGTGTCAGGATCTAATTTACTAACAGCCATGTTGATGTGTAAAGTTTAATTTTTTTTCATGCTGATACATATGCAATTGTTAATTTTAAATTATATTTTTTGAAATAATCAGTTATTTTTAACATATGTTGGTATCAGTTATCTTAACAAAAAAATAACAATTAATATATCACTAAAACAAGAGAATATTGTTGATACCAATTAAATAAAAATTTGTCGCTATATTAGGTATGTGACTTGAATTTTTTAATTAATCAAATACGATATAGTTATATATCATTAAAAAGAGCTTTATTACAGTATTTTAAAGGTAAAAATGATAAAAATTGAGCAGTTCTATGAAAGGTATATTATATACTATTATAGTATTTTAAGTATTGAATTTTCGATAATTGATATTGTTGAAGAAACGGTGAATAAATTTAGTTTTTCTCAACTTTAAATGTCAATTCTTATCAAAATTCCTAAAACTTGGTATCAAAAGAAAGGTTTTAAAAAGGAGAATAATGACACAAAAAAGACATGTGTGACTTTATAAGGGCATCTATAACACCCATTAATATATTGAACATCTAGATTTTTAAGAAAGTTTTAATTTTTTGTTTAAAATTAGAATTAATTTTTATGCTTTTTGTATTTTATATACTTTATATATACTATTCAATATTATTTTTTATAATAGTTTAAATATTGTTAATGTTTATTATGATACTCCTGCTTCTAACTACTCTGGTGTATGGTGTATGGTGTATGGTGTATAGCAAAGCTTAAGTCAAAAATAGATACCTATCTTTGGTGAATTATTAGGTTGTCTGGATGAGTTTTTTTCTTTCATGAAATTTGACAGGTAGCAAGAAAAAAGATTTTTGCTAAAGTCTAAGTGTATTAGAAAAAAGTCTCAGCATTTCTTCAATACATACCTAATTCACAAACAACAAGGAAGTTTTAAACAATAAATTCATTATTAACAAAATTTGGCAAAAATGATTTCCATGCAGAATTAAAGTTGAACTATTCCAGTACTCAAAAAAAAATTGTTGATACAAATTTCTAAAAAAATAGACAACAAAAGATGTTCATACCATGCCACTCTTAAAAATACTGAAAAAAGCATGACACAAAATTTGAACAAAGAAAATGGTCCTGTTAAGGTTGAATTTACGTGTACCTAACTATATCAAATTTGTATATTTTTATATGCAAATTTTGTCTCAACATTTTGTGCTTTTTTGAAAAACATTGATAAGATTTTCTTTATAAATTCTTATTGAATTTTTAATTTGTTTATCATTACTACTATTATCTTTTATTATACAGTTTGATTATTCACCAAAAGGAAGTATTAGACTTCTTGTTAGCACTCCACCATTTAACAATGCAGCTCATCCTTCATATTGTGATAATAATTTATGCAAGCGAGTTGATGGTTTAACACTCAATTGGCCTGTGGAATCTAAAGCTGTTACAATTGCTACATTTATGAAAGAAATTGTGCAAGAAAAAAAATGCTTTACTAATTCAATAAATGACATAAATTTTAATACCCATACTGACTATTCTGCAATAAGGTAAGAAAGTTGGTTTTATATTATTAGGTTTTTATTTATGTTGGATAAAAAGTCTTTAAAATTTAAAAATTTAAAAGGGATTCCAAAGTACTAACACATGTTTGTATTTGATAAATATATATATGTTAAAAATTATATGCATGCAGTACAGATTTGAAAAAAAGGCAGGGTTTTAGTGTCCAGCACAGTCAGGGGAGCTGCTCTCTAATTTTTAAAAAAATGTTGTCTTTTAATCCTTGACTCAGAAACACTAACATTTTTTAACTTTAAACAGGGCGCTATGCAGACAAACAGGTTGAGCACAGTAGTTTTAGAGTGCAAGGTAGATTTGAATCTCAACCTCTTGATTGTGAGCCAAACATTTTTCCACTAGTAAACTAATATCACATTACTTAATTATGTGAATTAATTGCATTAAATTAAAAACATGTTTAGAATAATTTTGATTTAAAAAAGTCACAATAAAAATTATTATGGCAAATGAGTTATTTAAAGTTAGTAAGACAATATAAATGTTGCAAACTAGTTTTTATACTAACATGTTCAACGTGTCACTTTAAAAACTAGTTTGCAACAGTTTACAACATGTATTCTACAAGCTTGCAATATGATATTATAACCTTGTAAATTGTCATCAATCGGGATGACTATTAACACTGTTTAAACATTTTTGTATCATAGAAGAAAGCATATTTACTGGGCTGTAAATATCTTAATTTTCTTATTTCATATGATCATAATTGTATTTTTAAAACAGGTCAGAATAATCGTTAGCTGATTTAGGGTGACATTGAATTCATGTTTTTATTTTTTAGATTATGAATAGTTTCGTTTTGCAAATGGATTTGTGCCTGAGCTTAGATTGTTCTTAAGAATATGTAAAATCAATTGGTTATGAGCCATTATGGTGTTTTTACCACCAGGTTCTTTATTTTTTCCTGGAAAATGTTTTATCACCTCAATTTTGCAACTGAATTAAAGTAACACGATATAGCTATTGTGTGTTTCTTCAACTTTTAGTAAACTTGGTACTGATGTTGATTTTCACCTCCCTATTTGTAGTCACCCCCGTTGGCAGTACATGTTATAAACTTGTAGCAGAAATAAAATTTTGAAAACCTGTAGAATAGACAGATGAGCATGAGTATCATTTTCTCCAACAAACCTTGTCCTTGTGAACTGCATACAAGTTTCCAACGTATTCTCTCATTATTAAATATGTTGCAAACTTGCATGTATGTAATGTATGTATTTAATGTTTTAAGATGTGCACTTCACAAGGACTACAGTCTAGTAAACTGTTGCATAATTTTTTTCTCTAACAACTTTCCATTTCCAGACTGAATAAAGTTTAAAATTTTTTCATATAATGTTCTGCTTGTGGCTTTGTACTGAATTTTGCAGTTTATAACATAAACTTTACTAAATAAAGATCAAATACCAATATAAAATGACATCTAAAATGCTTGTGCGGACATGAAGGCATTTGAGAGGAGTGGAAAGATATTAAATAACTGATAATTACTTGTACTTTGAAATTTAGTTAATTGAATAATTTTTATTTTTATTTATAAATATTTAACTAATGTGCCCTAATATTTAATACATATTTCAATAATATATAGTACATAATACATACTTCAATAATATATAATAAATATTTCAATATCACATTAAAAAGTTTTGGTGATTTTTTTTTTTGCTTTTTATCATTTTAATTACTGAAGTGAATTAAAATAATTTATAAATCAATATTTATTAAAATGCTCATTCATCTATTCTAGCAAATCATGCCATTGTTATATGATTTTTTATTTATTCATTAATCTTACTAGTAAATTGTCAAATTTTATTTCATGTTAAAAAAAAAAATACTTTTATAAAGTAGTGTCTTTTTTTATAAATTGCAGTAATAATGTAAATAACAAAGAGATCTTTATTTTTTTAATTGAATTGTAAATTCTCAAAAATCTGATTTCTGTACAAAATTTTGATTTTCAAGATATTAACCATTGTCTTTGAATTTTTCTTTGATTATTTTTTTATCATTTTTATCTTCTTTGATTATCTTTATTTATTCCCTCTTTTGACCCTCAAACACTAATCTAGACAAATAATACAGCTGTGCAGCGTGAAACACTAACCTAGACAAATAATGCAGCTGTACAGTGAAACACTAACCTAGACAAATAATGCAGCTGTACAGTGAAACACTAACCTAGACAAATAATGTAGCTGTGCAGTGTGAAACACTAACCTAGACAAATAATGTAGCTGTGCAGTGTGAAACACTAACCTAGAAAAATAATGCAGTTGTGCAGTGTGAAGCACTAACCTTGACAAATAATGCAGCTGTACAGTGTGAAACACTAACCTAGACAAATAATGCGCTGTGTAGTGTGAAACATTAACCTAGACAAATAATGCAGCTGTGCAGTGTGAAACACTAACCTAGACAAATAATTCAGCTGTGCAGTGTGAAACACTAACCTAGACAAATAATGTAGCTGTGCAGTGTGAAACACTAACCTAGAAAAATAATGCAGTTGTGCAGTGTGAAACACTAACCTAGAAAAATAATGCAGTTGTGCAGTGTGAAATATTAACCTTGACAAATAATGCAGTTGTATAGAATATTAAGTTAAACACAGGAATTCATTTGAACTCTGTATCTTATTTAATCAAATTTTTATCATTTATCATGTTTCTTTAAAAAAAGACAATTATAGCAATTTGAATTTTGACTGTCATAAATTAGTTTTGCTAAAATTTTTTTTTTTTTTTCATGTGATACTTATTAATAATTATAAAATGTAATTGTATATTATTGATTTATAACATAATATCAAAATGTGTTTAAATATTTTAAGTCATAGCAGTTACTATCCAATGTATCCTGAGGAAGCTTTGGTGAAAATTGAACATTCAATATCAACATCATCATTATTTTCTGCATCACATAGAATGATGACAGGTGTATTATTGGGATCAGATGGACATCCTTTAAAATTGTATGTCAGTTTGTAAGGTATTATGTACTTTTGTCTTAAATTTTTTAAAAAAGTACATATTTATTCTATTTAAAATGTTACATCAAAACATAAATTAAAGATTGCAAAAATAACAAATTTGAGTGTACAAAATACTTAAAAACTGAACAGTACAAGCTAGAACTCTTTTGAGTTATGTACAAGATAGAACTCTTTCAGGTAATGCACAAGATAAAGCTTTTTCAATTTATGTACAAGATAGAACTCTTAAAGGTTATGTTAAAGATAGAAAGAATAGAACTATGGTCTTTCAATTTAAACAGCTAATTTACTAGAATAGTTAAGTTTGTTTACAGTTTCTTTTAAAAATAATGCTTGCAAAAATAACTTAAGAATAATGCAAGTAAAAACATGCGAAGAACTCATAGTTAAAAGAAATCATGATTTCAATTGACTACTATTAAAAAATTAGCATTAATTTTATATTACATTTTATGTATTTAATTATGTAAGCATTAATTTATGCTGCATTTTATGTTTTATAATTATGTAAATATTAATTTATGCTGCATTTTATGTATTTTAAAAAATGCGCTAAAAAAGCTAAACTAGGAAGGAAATTAAAATATATATATATTTAAAAAAAAAAAACATTTTCTTTCAAAAAAGAAAATATACAAGCACTAAAATAAAACTCAAAAAACTCAAACTTGAAGCGAAAATTGTGTTTAAAATAAATATTATTTTATAACCTGTAACTTTCTTAAAATTTTCACTAATATCAAATTTTCTTTTAAAAAACAAGTAAACCTTATATTTTCAATCTACTAAAATTTGCATTTTTCTGTTCTGTGTAGGGTTCCATTTCAAACTTTTTGTCCTTCAATAACATCACTAATGTATACCATTCTTTGTTTAAAAAATATTTAAATAAATTAGATTTTCTTGAGAGTAAATAAAAATTGCCAATTATTTTAAAAATAAATATAAATTTCTGTGTGTAATTGTTTGGTAGTGTATGTTTATCCATGTTTAATTGTTTCTTATTTTGAATATTTTTATAATAACACTGCAATACTTATTTTTACTTATATTTAGTCTAAACTCAAACAATTCTTCAAGTGTTGACAAACTCTATTTAAAAGATTTTTTAAAGGCAGCTAATATATCACTAGATCGTCACTCTGATGCTTTAAGTTCAAGAAATCGAACATATCGCCAAAATGGTCTTGTGCTGCGTGTCACCATTGATTACAGCAATGCTAAAGGGTGGTTTGGAAAAGGGTATTTATAAAATAGTTTGTAATTAAAGCTGCATTTCTAGTTATCAAGTTGGTTAAGTGTAGTGTTTTTTATGTATTAATACAATAATAAAAATTGTAATGTATAAATTTTTTTTAAGGTTGTTTTAATTGTTATGATCAATCTGTATAAATATTAAATCTACAGTATTTTTGTGCCAGACATTTCATCTGATTATAATTGTTTTGTTTTCTCATCAACTCATTGTTTTGATTATTTATCACTATAATTTAAGTTACCAAACCTTTACGGGTGACCGGAATAATGATGCAAAATTTAGAATATCATAACGAGAGATTGTCACACTTTTTGATTATCAAAAAACAGAATAAGGAATGTTGCATTTGAGTTTAATAAATATTGTCAAAAACAAAACTATTTGCAACATTATTCCTTTTTTACTATTTGTGACAATATTCCATTTACTATTTGTCACACTATTCCTGTTTGTTTTTTTGTTGAGACATTTTTAATATATTTTACACCATTCCAGAGTTTATTTTTCGACACTATTCCTGTCACCCTTACCAATGTATATGCTTTTATTTTTAGTTAAAAATCCTCTAATGACATCATAGAGGTAAAACATAAAATGAACAAAACATTTAAAAATTCTTTTCAAAGTTGTATAGGTTATAATATAAGTAAAATTTATATTAAAATCAATGAAATACATTGTAACAATTATTTTAGATTATTGCTTAAAGCCATCACACCAAGAGTTTGCTTAGATACTATAAAACATTGTCTTACCTTGAGCCTCAAGGTAAGACAAAGATGAGCCTCTCCTTGTCTTGCTGGACTCAGAATCATTAAGTTGAGTTTTAGAGCTCTACTCTCATTAGGAGATAATAGAATGAGTTGCCTAGTGATAGTTGCATAGCCACTATCATGGAAACAACAAAATCCAGCATTCATAATCCTGGCAGTAAACAATGTAACAGGTTTACTTCTTTGCTAGCGTTATAGTTAAAGAAAGTGCAAGGCTAGTCAACAGAATTTTTTTTCTTACCCTTAAAGTCTTTGCCTAGTAGGCCTTCTACAAGACAGTAGCTGGATGAAGTTAATATCTGCCAAAGATAATTATTATAATCAAGACACCATTTCTATCTTTTACTCAACCAAGAAGACCAAAGTTTGGTTACTTTAAATTAGAATTGACTTCTCCTTAGCCTTTGCCTAGAAAAGCAACTCCTCCTACAAAGCAGCAGGACTTGGGGCAGGTTGTGCTGGATCATGATGATTCTAAATCCGACCTGAAATAGTTATAAAAAGTTACTTTTGTAACCAGTATTATAAAATTCTGGATTTTGAATATATTTTGGTTGTCTCATTTTCAGAGTCATTTAAACATAATGTCACACCACTGGCTTACTAGTTAAAAATAAAACGTTTTCCTTTTTAACATTATTCGATTGCTAATGAAAACTTAATACTCAATTTGATTGCTAATAAAAATTTAATACTCAAAATGTTTTTAAAAAAGTTCAATAAAAACTAATTGATATTAACAAATTTGAGGAATAATTAAAATCTTGGAAATTTAATTTTTTTTTTGAAAAATGAAAGTTTAAAGTTGAAAAATAAAAGAAGTCTTCTAATCATCAGAAGAAATTGATTGTTATTATAAAATAACAGCAAACAGTGAAAAATATTTAAACAATAAGTTTAGAAATATTTATTTTAATTTAGATATTGCTTTAACTTTAAAAATTTATGTAACTATTTTTTAACATTTAGTTTTTCTAAGCCCAGTAAATATATTACAAGTAAACAAATCAAGCTAAAATCATGTCAAATGACGTTATTTGTATTTTCTCACTTGAAAATCTATGAACTTATTTTAATTTATGAACTTATATTATATTATGAACTTATATTATAAAATATGTACCTTGGCAGTAATAAATATAATTAAATATTTTAATTGAATATAAATGATTTTTTTTAAGATAATTTAATATTATACAGTATTTAAAATTTAGTATTTAAACTCCCAATTATGTATTTTTATTTTCTTTTAGTAAAACTGAATACACATACAGCGTAGAGCATAATCTTTACTCTGATTATCGTATTAAACAAGAGTTGCCTATCGCTTTGCCTAATGGAACTATATGCAAGAGGGTTGTCATTAAACGCTATGCTGTTCGTATAGAATTTGTTCAAGTTGGAAAAATAGGTAATTTACGTTTTTTTATTTATTTACTTGTTTATATATATATATATATATATATATATATATATATATATATATATATATATATATATATATATATATATATATATATATATATATATATATATATCATTTATTTTGATATAGTTTTTAAAAGAATTATTATAGCCAAATAACTAAAAACAAAACTCTCCTAGTTTATTTATTATACATTATTTTCATTATCAGGGAGGTTGCTTTTTTTGCGTGTTAATGGGTTCGAAAGCTATACGCCATAACTTTCAAACGCTAAAATACTAGATGAAATTTTAAATTTGTCGATGAGTAGAAATTTTTTTGTGTGACTTATCATTATAAGTTATTATAAGTCACACAAAAAAAATTATATTTATCGATAGTAACCTATTAACCTCATCTTTGGGGAAAAGGGGGAACAAGTCTGAAGATTTTTGTAGTTCCCAGAATTCCAATTACTGCAATTTTTCCCAAAGCTTTTTTATTTATGAAGGCATAGACACGCTATAGTTTAAAGTTTGCTTCATCTCTGAGAGTTATTATTTCAAATACTAAAAAAGCTGCCGCGATGCCTAATCCATGATAAAACTGTACAAACATGTAACAAAACATTTGTTTAGTATTCGGTTTTTCCAAACGGTTGAACACTTTATTAAATTCAGTTTGTTCAATATTTTTCGTTAATATTTTTAGGTGAATATTCAATGTCGAACTTAATACTGCAAATAGTTTCATTAATGGGACTTCTCACACTAGCAACCACCATCATTGATGTTGCAGCACTTTATGTTGTACCTGATAAAGGTATATACCGCCAGTATGTTTTCGACTCCTCTCCTGAATTACAAACTAACGTTCGAGATGAAAAAGCGAATTTATTAGAAAAAAAGGATCAGTAGTGTGAATTCATTTTTATAAATTAAAAAGTTCAGCAATATTTTATAATAATAACCTGTGTATTATATTACGAAGATACCGCGTAATTTGGTGAAACTAGCGTTTTTGAATCATAGATTCAAAATGACGCTTATGTATTTTGTTGCCTAAATATTTAAATTTTAACAAAAACATCTCTAACAAAATTAGATAGGCCGAAATCATTAGCTAGACATAAGTAATAACCTTAAAAATATTTTACAGATTTTCCCCATAATTACTAAGCTAAGTATATTTTATACTACGAATCTAATGGTATCATTAGACTGTTTATTTGGTTGTTACGGATAAATGTATTTCATAATAACTGCATTTTGTATAGTTACCTAAATTAAGAGTTACTTTTATAAATAAACTGATAGTTACAATACTATTGAATGATTGAATAACACAAACAAAAAATTACTATTTTTTGGAGTTGTTTTTGAATAAATCAGAATCTTCATTTGAAATTGCGTTTTTCTTAGGATTATGGAGTTTTTTCAAACTAATTTTATTATCTAAATAATCTATAAAACAAACTTCATTATTTAAGTATAATAATCCTTCTAATGTGGTGACAAATATGAAAATCTTTAACTTGGAAAAACTTAATTTATATCATGTTCAAATTTAAAAGTGAAGTGCGACCGAGTTCCTTTTTAGATATATTTTCGTCGTCATTTTCCGATAGTTATAATATGCGATTAAATTTCCATAAGTAATATGTTAAAATTAAGTTTCCATAAGTAATATGTTAAAAAAAATTTAAAACCCAGTGTTCTAAAATATCATTAGACCCCAAATCATAAAAAAAGTTGAAAAATCAAGGTTTAAAAAGACTTGAATGGAGTATCGTCGTTTTTCACAAATAGCCACAAGCAACTACTAACTTAGTAACGTCATCAAAAGTATCTCCCCAAAAAAAGACAAATATTGATTATACTTGAATAAAATCTCAACTTATTCAAGATCAACTGCTCGGCAAAAAAAACTGAACACTTCATACTTTGAATTGGATATAACCACTATTTTCCTTAAAAGATGTGAATTATGTTTTTCTAATCGATTCTAAGTGTTCCATTTAAATATTCGTAAAAAAAAGTCCTACTAGATAATCTTAACTTTATTTTTAGCTTAATTTGTCTAACGGAAAGCTGGATTTTAGATACAACATTTAATCAAAATTCTAATTTTATTTTGCCCAACTACTAAGCCATTAGTTTTGAACGTAAATCTTCAAAAACTGGCGGTGGTATATTGTGTTTATGTGCTTGATGAATTTACTTATAAAATTAGATGTGACCTGTCATTCTCTGAGCCGGATTTTGAATCTTTCACTTTAGAAATTTACAATAAGTCATCTTAAAATATTGCAACGACTACGTACCGTTTGGTGGTCACCAAACAGAAGTTTAAACAACTTTAAAAATCACTTTAATGATTATTTTGAAACAGCATGCAAAAAAAAAAAAAGACCGCTCATTTTTATTTGTTGGAGATTATAACGTCGACTATTTAAAATATGGTGAAAAAAATAAAATACAACAATTTTATGATCGCTTTAATGAGTTTGGAATGATGACTATAATAAAGAAACCAACAAGAATAACACAAAACTCTTGTTCTGCAATTGACAATATTTTTACAAACACACTCTTCCATTCCACATTTAAATCAGGCATCATTAGAAGTGACATAACCGACCATTTCCTAGTCTATGCAATTTTCAAAAAACCAAAAGATATACTAAAAAAAGACTGGTACTTCAAAAAAAGAATCTTTACAACCCGAGCAAAAAATATGTTTAAACTAGAGCTAACGACTGTAAATTGGAACTTTGTTTTTCTCGAGATATGTGCTAATAACAGCTACAACCTATTCCTAGATACATTTTTTAATTTGTACGATAAGCATTTTCCTATAAAACAAGCCGTATTAAAACTAAAAGACTTCTTAATCCTTGGTTGACTAAAAACCTTTTTAAGTCTTCGAAGCGAAAACAAAAGCTATATATACGCTTTATTAAATCAAAGAAAGATCGTGACAAGATCGTGAAAAGTCAAACTCGAAAACAACCAAATTTTAAAGACAGAATATTTTACCACAGTCAAACATTGAAGCAATAACGGTGAACAATTTCAAGAGCAAAATAGATAAATTATCTAGTATTATGTCGACTACTAACTAAACTTCTAGAAACGACATGAATAACTATTATTTATTTTTTATATTGTTAATTATAAAATTATTATTGTTAAAGGCTGTCTCAGATTTAACATGGTGTTAAGTCTCAACAGCAATAATTATTATATTTATTACTTAGAGCACAAACGTCTATATGAAAGAACTAAAAAATAGCCAGAACTACATACTTTAAAAATAAGCTGTTAGAACTAAAAAGTAACTGGAAAAAAACGTGAGATTGCTATTAAAGAGATTCTTGGAAAATAAAAAATACACAACGAAGTCTTACCAGTTGTGATTACCGTAGACGGCACACAGATCTCTAATGTAAAATTGGTGGCAACAAAATTTAATGAGTTATTCGTAAATATTGGTCCAAACTTAGCCAGTAAAATTAAACACACTCCTGCATATTTTTTGAACTATCTATCGAAGTCGGAAAAAAGCTTAGCATTTAAAAAACTCACTAGTAAAGAACTTGATGACTCAATAAAAATATATAAATAAAGCAACAGGCTATGATTCTGTTTCAGCAAGCATAATCAAAAACTGCTATGAATTTATTAAAGATGTTTTATTAGATATTTATAATAAAATCGGTGGTTTTAATAAAACAGGTGTTTTTCCAGATAAACTGAAAGTTATCTGGCAATTATTACGCCCATTTTTAAATCTGGAGATAAAAGTCTGGTAACAAATTATCGATATATATCGGTGTTGCCTGTTTTTTCGAAAATCCTCGAACGTATCATGTATAATAGGATATTTGCATTTTTAAATGACAACGATCTTCTTTATTATAATCAATATGGTTTTCGATCAAATTACTCTACGAAACACGCACTTATACAATAGTGCGTGTTTATAATAATATGTAGAGCATTTTCTCATAATAAATTCACTTTAGGTATATTCCTAGACTTGTCAAAAGCATTTGACACCGTTAACCATCAGATTTTATTAGAAAAACTAAAATATTACGGAATAAGCCACGAATACCATAAATGGTTTACCAGTTACTTAACTGATCGAAAGCAGTTTATTTCTCTAAATGACGGCTTTTAGACAAACAAACTTAAAATATCATGTGGATTTCACAAGATTCCATCTTAGGTCCGCTGCTGTTCTTAATCTATGTCAACGATCTATATAAAGCATCAAATACTATGTCAACTATTATGTTTGCAGACGACACCATTTTATTCTATTCTCACAGTAACATTATCTCTATTTCAAGTAGCAAATAATAAACTAGAACAAATATCAAACTGGCTTATCACTAACAGCCTATCTTTAAACACTGATAAAACTAACTTTTCCATATTCCATTCTAAACGAAAGTTTCAATATATTCCAAAATCCTTACCATTGCTATATATAAATAACATCAAAATTGAGCGCTCATTCACAAATAAATTACTTGATATTTTAATAGATGATAACTTATCCTGGAGAGATCATATTAAACATATTAGCAATAAAATCTCAAGAAATATTGGCATTTTATATAAAAAAAGATAAATCTTAGGTAAATATATATATACATATATATATATATATATATATATATATATATATATATATATATATATATATATATATATATATATATATATATATATATATATATATATATATATATATGTTAATAGCAATAGAAATAGACATAGATGTATGCCAAATGACGCTGTTTAGAAATACTGCGAAAAATTTGGAGTTTTATATCAAAAAATGCTAAATCTTCTTGGATTTCCTTTTTTATTTATTATCATTTAGAAAAATAAATAAGATAGGTAAATAAATAAGTTATTATACCAAAATTTATATTAAAATTTGTATCAATATTTTTTTAATGTATCTTAATCAGTTTGATACGTAATAACTTTGTATATATATCTTTATATGGTATACCTAAAGAAAAAAATTAATTAATTTAAAAAAAAAAATATCAAAGGGTCAGAAAAACGCATTAATCGCCTTAATAAACCTTCGTTTGATTTAGAACGCAATTATTTTCGGGAAAGTAATATCCAGACAGCTGAAATGGTTTATTCCATTTCAGCCCTCTTTTGATACATTAATGACAAAAAAAATTATTTGATACAAACCATATCCATTATCAACGCTATATTGCAGACCAGTTGGGTTCTCAATTAAAAAAGAAACCATTGAAGTTTTAAAACAAGAAAATTAGTTTATTAACATTTTATTGAAAATTTATCGTCGACATTTTGTGGAATAAACTTCAAAAATTTGAAATTACAGTAATGAACGGCAAAATTGCTACAGTATTATCTACAGTATCATACAGAATTGCTACAGTATTATCTACAGTATGCTACAGTATTATCTACAAGACATAAATTAATTTCTTCTATAACATTTCTTTTTTATTTCTTAACTGTTACTTGAGTATAAATATTTTGGCTAGTTGATCCATCAAACCCAACTTTAAAGTGTAATGTTAATGTTTAGTGTAATGTATTAGGCGTATTGCTACAAAGTACAATTGACAAATGTTTAAAGGTTTGTTTCTACAGAAAAATTATTAACAGTTCAAAGCGTTTGTTCAGGAAGACATTGTCTTCTAGCAGCACAAACATTATTGTATGCAGGATAGAGATTACAAGCTTTGCTCAAAGCATCGTTTCTCAAGTGTTGGTGATCAAACTTGCTCATATTACTATCTAATATGATGGCTAGAGCTTTATTTTGAGTGTTTTGACTTGTTCTGAACCAGAAGGTTAATTTAAGGATAAATAAACAAAATTAATTTTTTATTGTTTCTTCTGCCATGTTTAAAAATATTACAACTACTAGCATAGAACAATTCATTTGAAGAACTAGTTAATAAGTTGATAGCTAGTTTATAAGTTGATACTTTATGACTCATTATCTTATTTGATCAATCCCCAAATGATTTCACAGACCTACCACTAACTATAGATTTTGTTTTATTATCCTGATTTTTGATGTTTTAATAAAGTCTTGTTCAAGCCATATTATAATTATATTGCATAAAGTATTTATCAATTTTTTTACTCAAAGGCCAACGTTTACAATACTTTGACAAAAAAGTTACCAATTTTAAATCAAATTCAGAATAGTATTTATTAATAAAAACATAAATACCAAGTTATTTTTTTTTATTAAACATTGATAAACCATGCTACCTTATGAATTGATGAACTTGATATCTAGTAATGGTTGACATACTACTGTTATATATATATATATATATATATATATATATATATATATATATATATATATATATATATATATATATATATATATATATATATATATATATTTATATATATATATATATATACATATATAAATATATATATATATATACATATATATATATATATATATATATATATATATATATATATATATATATATATATATATATATATATATATATATATATATATATATATATATATATATATATATATATAAATATAAATATATATATATATATAAATATATATATATATATATATATATATATATATATATATATATATATATATAAATTTTAATAAAAATTACAATATTTTTTATTCTTGACATGTTTCGTAGTCTTACTACATTTTCAAAAGATTTAATTTACAATTAAAACTCTGGTAATTAAATTTAAAAACTGAAGACAATACAGAGAAAAAATTAAAGGACAAATAAACTTGTTACAAACCAATTTAAAAATTATATTACAAATTATGACAAATTAAACTTCCTAATATCAAAATATTAATAATAATAATAATAATAATAATAATAATAATAATAATAATAATATAATAATAATAATAATAATAATAACAATAATAATAATAATAATAATAATAATAATAATAATAATAATAATAATAATAATATAGTAAGTTAGATAGATAAATTTATAATATAATGAGATGTTTGTTCATTTAAAGAAGGATTTTCCCATTTAATATGAAGTGCTTCTTTTATTTTTAATTTGTTAATGGTAGATGCAGTATCCAAAATCTGAAAGCAAGATGCTCACTTATCCTTGTTGTCAAATGTCTGTAGGTTTCTCAAATATAACTGGCGTTACAGCCAGCACAAGAAAAATTGTAGACAACGTTAGATTTAAGCATATTAGGAAGTGGATCGTTTATGCAAAAACTGTTAATTTATCGGTTGTGAATATAAATTTGATTATTAGATTTTTACAATACTTTTTAATAATTTTATCAATTTTAGTTTTAGTGAAATTGGAATAAAATCCAATAAATGGAAGCTTAAAATATCTTATATTAGTATTATCAACAATATTTATAACAGGTGGATTAATTTTCTTTTCAATATATAATTTAATTTCAGTGTCGATAAATTTTTGCGGAAATTGATTATTTTTTAAAACTAAAGAAAGATTTTTTTATATCCTTATCAAATCCAAACCACGTGTTGTTAATTTTATATATTCGATCAATCAAGCAACGTATAAGACCAGTTTTGTAACATGAAGGGACAAAACTAAAGAAATTTTGTAAAAGACCCGTCCAAGCCGGCAAATAACGTTAAAATAACGTTGAAATATCGTTGAAACCTAACGTTAAAATTACGTTCATTTAACGTTTAAAATGAAAGTCTTTTTCAACGTTGATTTGTCAACATTAAATCAACGTTAGGTTCAAACGTTATATCAACGTTGATTCGACGCGAAAAAACGTTACAATAACGTTGATACAACGTATAAAATTATAGTTTTTAAAAGTTGATTTATCAAAGTTAAAACGACTGTAAAACACTTTTTCACCATCAAAACGTGCTATGTATGTCAAAATGTATATATGTATGAAAACGTACTATGTGCGTAAAAATGTGATCACCATCAAAACGTACTATGCATGTACATTAGTGTTGGTGTACATTATCAAGGTGTATTATGGATATTAAATCTATTCATAGTCAATACTTAGACTATTTAGAACTTTTTCAGTTTAGTTTAGTTAAAATAGCTAGGTATGATTAAAGAAAGAGATAAAACTTGTTTTATTGAAAAATATATCTAAATATTACAAATATATACATATTACTGAATAAAATCTGCACAAATTTCTTGGACAGGGATCAAATAATGTCATTTTTTATGTTAAATAGCATGCATTTGCTAAAGTAATTTTTTACATTTCCATGCACTTTAAGGCGTTAACCAGTTTTGCAGACCGAGAATGGGTATTTTGAACATTATACTTCCATCAAAAATTAATTAGAGGATAATAGAGGATTTTAGAAGTGGTTTTAAAAAAAAGAGGACTTCAGAGGAGCTGCGGACACCCTGGTTGTAAATGAGGTAAGAGTCCAATACTGTTTTTGATCTTTAGAAGACGTTCCACCAATTAACTGTAATTGATTTATCTGTAAAAAAACATAAAGTAAATCTAATATTATGCTTGTGGAGATATATCATATTGTGGAGAAGCATCCAAAACACACACAAGTGGAAAATTTGCATCCAAGTTTCCACTTGTGTGCAAATCTTGCATCCACTTGTCAACATTCTCATTATCACATTTTTCTTTTGTAGTTGTGAATTTAAAATTTTCACAATACTGTTTGCTTTCTTTTGGAATTGAAATAGTTATATAAAATAATAATTGTAATATAAAGATGTAATACCTGAAGAGAATTTAGTTTTTATTTGTATAAACTTAAGCCAATTCTTCTCTGCATTCTAATGCAGTCAATGCTTTGGTACCTGGAAGCCGACAAACAGTTTTATCACTAATCCAATTAGATGGAATTACTTCTTCTTGTAAATCTTCATTCCAAACAGCTCCTTTCCACATATTCGATTTTGAAAAAATCACATGAACTAATAAAAAAAATGAAGAAACCATGATATAAGTTTACTAACAGGCCTAATTAAACTAGCTAAATTTGAACATTTTATAACCATGATACTTACTAAACAATAATATTAGTAGACATTATTAGCAAAAATAAGATTTTCTTTATTTTATAAATTTATTATATTTTAAATTCATTTTATTAATTTATTTATTACTTTATTATTCAGCAGAATTCTGAATATATTATGTTTAAATAACTTAAGGCTCAATAACAAAGAAAAATAATGAAAGAATCGTAGGTTGCTAAAACATAAACATCTACATAAGATAATTATGGAATATTGAACAAAAATAGAAATACAAAAATACAAAAATACTCATTATTAATATAAAATATAATAGTATAACATAAGGTATATTATAATACATGACACAATAATATCTACTTTTAATTGAAATATTAAAGCAACAAAAATTAAAAAAGAAAATATTTTAATAAACAATAAATTATCATTCAAACAATTTTAGAGACCAAAAAATAACTTGTAACTTATTTTTTACTCATCTTCATCTAATAAACATTATTATTAATACCAATTTTTAACATTATTAGAATTTTAAAAAACAAAAATATTACATCAGTTACTTTTTGGGCTTTTCTTATTTTACATAAAACGTCAACTCAACCCTAGGCTTTTTTCATAATTGAGTTTTAATTTGTAATGTTGAATTAGCACTGAAAAAAATATATTAGCAGACTCAGTGTAGTTAAGGTACTTTTAAAATAATAGAGCGTCTGTATGATATTTTGTTGACTGCAACATTTTTTTGTTAAATGGTCTGGTCTGTGAATTATGAAAAGACGAAAAAACTTAAAATGATAAATTTTGTGGTATCATAAAATATAAATGATTATAGCGAAAAAATCCAGATCGATGATTCATTTTTTTTTTTTTTTAAATCATCTTAAAATCACAATCGCTCGTCCAAATTTAAATAAGATTTTATATTAACAAGTTTTTTAGGTAAAATAAATATTATAGTTTAACAATATGATCTGTTCTGATTGTTTATTGGCAATTTTCCATAATTATAAGCTCTTTCTTGGTCGGAATTCCAGTATTTTTTGTGAAAATTGATAGACATGATTTGACAACTATATATAGTTAATATACGTCAGAACCGATTAGAACTAGGATCAGTAGTAAATTAAGAAACTTTTTCAAAAGATTTCAACTAAATTCATATTAATGCCGATAAGCGGAACTGATCTAAAGACTCCAAATTAGTGTTCTTTAGATACACTATTACGGGTAGTAAAAAGGTTTTGAAAATTATATAAAAAAAAGAAAAGTTTCTTTAAATATAAAAACCTTGAGCAAAAAAATTATAGCATTTAAAGATCTTGTTTGGACATAATATGCTGACAAAATCATGCTAATTCCAAATAAAAGTATTTGAATATTTTGTAAATCGCCTTAACTACACCGAGGACAAAAAATAAACATTTCTTTATTGAAAGTTATGTAAATATTTCGATAAAAAAATTTTAGATTGATTTTTATAAATATAAATTTATATCAATCAATCTAAATTTTTTTCTTTTCCGCCACCTTTTCAAAATGGAGCGCATTTTAAGAAGTTAGACAAAATGCCATCAGTTAAAGTTTCAGTCACTCCATCTTATTTAATAGAAGAAGCTGTTAATAAAAAAGAATTAGAAAAAAAAAAAAAAAAAACACAAGGAGAAATTTTTCAAATATATAATAAATGAGAATAAAAAAGTTTTACATATCTTATAAAGGTATACCTTTCACTACACCATATAAATTAGTGCTCTTAAAGCATATTTCCACTTTTACAAATTAGTGCTCTTAAAGCATATTTCCCTTCATATTCATGGAGATCACAAAATTGTTGAAAAATATTTTCTAAATTTTAATAGATGAGAGAACTGATATTAGTTAAGTGAGAACTAATATTAATTTTTTTTTTTTAAAATTTAAATTGAACTCATTATCAAACAATTTTTTTGCTAAATAATTTAATCCTTAAAATTCTTGAATAATTAAAAATTATTTTGATTACCTCAGCATTATTTTGTGAATTCTGTCTTTTAAAGATATTCCATCAATTGCAATTGATTCACCTAAAAAAAACAGGTAATGTTGCAGAATAGACACATTAAATAAAATTATCTTTTAGCTTTATGCACTCTCGTTCTCAGATACTTAAAAAATTCTATTAAATAAAAAAAAATTCTATTAAAAAAAAATCTATTGTATTGTATTTATTTCAATAATAAAAAATATAGTTTTGCTAATGTGTTTTTTAAAAATATGTGGCTATGAAAATAGCGGTTTATGTTATAGCTTATACAGGATTTTGACGTTATTTTTGATTGAGTATTTATATTTCTGGAACAACATTTGTTAAATCACTTGGTCTTCCGCGATTAACACATTGTTAAGCCATCTAAAGTAATTGATTTTTAAAAGTAAAAATAATAGATATAAGTTATATCGTATAACTACTAAATTAAAAAAAAAAATATGAATATGTTAAAAAATACAATATGTTAAAATTTTTTTTTTATATTAAATGTGTTTATCTTACTTTTTGATAAAAGAAATGAAAAACGCTATAACTAATTAAATTAATGAAGTAGTTAAATTTTTCTTACTTTTTACTTGTATTAAAAACTCTATCGCAGATTTTAAAAAGCAAAATAATAAAATGATTAAACGTGTCTATTCTGCAACATTACCAAAAAACAACAAGTAAAGCTAATATTATTGTTTGAAATTTTAATTATCATTATACAAATACTCATCATATTTTTTAAGTGACTAATAAAAATGGATTTAATTAAAATCACTTCATTTGTATGAAAAAATTAATATTAAAGCCTTAATCATACATTAATACAATCTAAATAGTTGTTGCGATTTGTAATTTCTTTATCCGAAATTTAGCTTCTGTAAGCTTTAGAAATTTTTTAAAGAAATAATTGATGAATTTGTAGCTACGGGTACTAATAATTTTATATTGTTGTAATGTTTGTATTCATTCCCTGTTAGTTTCTGTAAGTCAAAATTTTTCAGGTGTTTCCATAATAAACTCTGTTATATCTGAAATTTAGTGTAAGTCTGAATAATTTAGTTTCTAAAATCTGTTTTACATTGACTGTCTTATAACATCTTTACTTAGAACAAAAACCATGTGCTTTAAAAGTGAGCTAGGAGCTTTCAATCATGAAGAAAATATTGTATTCGCTAATCCTAAAAATATATTAAATCTGTCAGCAAGATCAGCTGTCAGTAATCCAAGTATTAGCATCATTAAAAATTCATCTTTGCTGCATACATTTATTTTGGTCCAAGTAGTTAAGGATTTTTTTAAATTTCAAAAAATAGAAGTAGATGCTTTTTTAATATCACTTTATCTTCTTATGATTAATGGTGATACTGCACTAACTGATGAAACACATTGACAGATGTAAAGCCAGTATAAAAGTCGCAAAATCTATCATTTTTAAAATAAATGTTTGTATACAAATAAATTGCAATAACATGAATCGTGTCACGATTTGCTTGGATTATGTTTATATACAAATTTTTCTGGTTTCATAGTAATAACTGATGTGGTTGAAGTTAATTTTTCATATAAATCTTTATTTTTTTTATTTCGTGCTGAAGTTCTTTTTTAAAGTTATCAATTTCCTTTTTTAATTCTTGATGATCTATTATAAAACAACGCTTAACATTAAATTCAACATAATTTAATGGATAATTTTTTGAAAAAGTTGTATTATTTACATTTAATAATATAAGTCTTTGAGCATTGTAGCCCAAGTTAAACAAAAAATATCGATTTTTAAACGATAATGCTCTTTCAGGAAAATCGTCTGAACATGTTTTCGATCTCTTGAAAATTTTATATGGTATAAGTTCTGTATTTAAATTTTTTTCCATTATAAATCTCTATAAGTTATAGAGATTAAGATTAAGTTATAGTATAACTTAAACCGTTGAAATAATGTTTATGTTTTTACTTCCATTTCTGCGCGCGCATAAATTTTATATCGGAACTGTGAAATTTTTTTGTCATCAATGATATAACGTTGAAATAACGTTAAATAATCAACGTTTAAACTGTAACGTTGATTTAACGTTGAAATAACGTTAAATAATCAACGTTTAAACCGTAACGTTGATTTAACGTTGTGACATAGTTGAGCAACGTTGAAACAACGCTTCAACCGAATTTCAACGTTGAAACAACGTAATGCCGGCTGGGGTGTATGTTTTTTGAATTAGACTTATTAATAAGAACATCCAAAAATGGAATTTGGTTGTATTTTCTTTATCCATAGTAAATCTCAAGTTTTTGTGTTGTTTATTGAGATGTTTAAAGAATTCTTGCGCTTCAAACTGTGAATTAAAAATTGCTATTATGTTATTATATCCACAAAACGTTTTTAAAAAATTGGTATGGAGGATGAGCAATTATTAACCCACGTTTGTTCATGGAAACCGATAAACATATTAGCTAAAATTGATGCAAAAGGAGAAACATCTGCAACGCCATCTAATTGATCATAAAATTTTCCGTTAAATAAGAAATGAGAACCTGACGTTGAAATTTGAAGTAATTTTTTGAAATGAGTTTTAGAAAAATATTTTGAGCGAGTTTCATCTTTAAAAAACAATTCTGTTGCTATATTTATAGTTTCATTAAGCGGAATGTTAGTAAGTAAGCTTTCAACATCATAAGAAACTATAAATTTGTTAGTTACGTCAACTTGTTTTAAATCTTCAACGAATGAAAATGAGGCAAAAGTGGTATAATGTTTTGGTAAATATGGAGATAATAAATCTGAAAGATGT